GCGCTCTTTCTGGTGAGTCAGTTTGAAAACAACAGCGACGCTACGCGACTGAAAATTCAAAAAGTTTCACCTCTCGCTTTTGCAAAGTGGCGGGCAATGTGTCATGCAATATGTCACGTATATATATGCAGCGTTTGCCGCAATAATTACCCTACTTTTTGCAAAAAAGCCCCGCACACTCTCTAAGCACATACTCACTCAAAAAGATAGAAGTAAATTGAAACAACTTTTTACGAATGAAAACGTTAGATGCGTACGACACAAATTTTAAATATTTTGGGATTGTGTTTCTATGAAAAAAACACTGTGTCGAGAACCCTAAGAGGAGTACTGTGGTTGCTGGGAGTGAATTGAAAATATGTTTATTACCGCTAGCTTAAAGAAACACAAAACACGCATTCCGGCTTCATATAGAGGGGCTGATTCCCGTGACGTCACACTGCGATGACACGTCACTGAGAAGACTGACTCGCGACGCACCAGTGGCGTCGTCTGCTCGTGGTGCAACGCAAACAACGATCAGTGAATTGTCGTCCAACGACCCGGACAGTGATTTCTGCCATTCAGGGTGCACGTAGGATTCGCAAATTCAGTAGAACTGCGTCGACTCATCGTGATAAGGTCCGTTGCAGTCGAGCTGGCTTACTGATTCTCAGCGATCAAAATTTTAACATCCGCGTAAAATAACGCGTACCTCTTGCCGGACTACGGTGTGTGAAAAGCGTCGAAAGTGCACACCAAAGAAACAACAAACGTACATTTTAGGACGTGTCCAATTCGTGTTGGTAATCCTTCAACTGCAGTACTGTCGAATTTGTGGCGCCTGACAACACGTTTACGTTGTATTCCTTTAGAATACATCCGAGACTCTCTTCGCTATAGTAAACAGTTAATTCGATCTGAACAACGAACTGCATGCCGTCGGGGCGAGATAACGCCAGAAGTTCACGTTGGCGTCGCCACCAGTCTCTCGTTTTAGTGTCTGTTGGGGCAGCTAATCCTGCTTTCTATTGCAGCGAGAAAAGTTTTTTTATTGAAAAAAGAACAGCAGCAATTAACTATATAACACAATTCAATTTTCTCTCCTCTATTTATTTGCACTTTTAAAATCGACACAAATCTAGGCTATCTCTCTATATACTTCAAATGCGGTCATTCAAAATGTGTCATTTTTGCTGTGATTTTCGTTGAGCTCGAAAAAAGTATAATATAAAAAGACGACATCACGTAAGTAACTTAATATTTCCCCATAGTCTCCATGTGTCACCTTGAATTTAGGAAAGAAATGTATATTTAAAGGATAGTTTTTTTTTCGTTGGACACACTATTAATGAAAACTAACAGACAATTATACCAAGAGAAGAACAGGGGATGATATTAGAAATACTTCTAACGTAAATGGGAAGAAAGAAAAGTGTACGAAAAAATAACTTGCCAGTGGCAAGTTATCTTTTCGTGCATTTTTTTCTTCGCAATTACATTACAATTAGTCCCATCCCCTGTTCTTTCATTGGCATCATTGTCTGTTAGTTCTCATCAACCTTGAATTTAATAACCTATTAGGGAATATGTTTAAGGTTGTGCTAAGATTGAATGCAGAAAGCTAGAAAAGACGAAACTTAACAACTTTTGGAGCTCTTCTTGCCACGACACATCTTTCGTAAGTGAAAATGGGGCAATATCGTTTAACTTCCGGTGTCACTATGGCGCCACGTTTTCTCTGACACTGGCCTTCAATACGCACTTTCAGGTTAGGTTCGGTAAGGTAAGGTAAGGTTAGGTTAGGTTGGGTAAAGTTTATTTATTTATTTATTTATTTATTTATTTACCCTCAGGGTCAACAGACATTACAGAGGGGAGTGGCAAAAACAACAAAACCAGTTTGTAAGTACAAGAGGCAATGCAATGTTTTTGGTTATACAACAGCAGACTGCAACAAAACAAAAGAAAGAAAGAAATGAGAAATATCAAAATGGCATATAAGAAAATAGAAAGATACATTCTTATAAAAAAGATAAAAATAACGTTTCTAAGTATAGAATGAGCATTGTTACACTTCAGTGCAACAGGTACAACAAATACAACAGGTAACAGTGAAATCCTATTTTTAGAAATGAATAAGGTGAAATACTACGACCAGGTATTCAAAGGATCGGTTAATACAGTCACAAATGCGTCACGATCTGAAATTGTTACAAACGATTCGGGAAGGCGATTCCAATCGCGTGAAGTGCGTGGTACGTATGATTGTCGAACTGACTCTGAGACGATGGGATGCCAACTTTATGAGCGTGATCTAAACGACAAGACACGTAATGCGGCGGAAGGATTAGTAAATCACGGAGAAGTCACATTAGGTTAGGTAAGGTTTGCGTTGGCGCTCGTCGCCGGTGCACATGCGTCATACGCTACCCTTTGCGTATCCCCGTTATCTGACGAAAAAAAAAGCACATGGTACCCAACGAATGCTATCTTTAGTACCCTATTCTAACACCCCATAATATACCTTACTAACACACTTTTTCCAAAGTGACAAAAGGAAACCTTTTCATTATTGAACCATCCGTCTGAACTAGTTAAATTGTTCACTTCAGTATTACCTAGTTAGATGCACCCACCTTAAGCATTTGAAGGACATAATACGTCTTATTTGGATGTTACCTTTAGCACTGAAATCACAAGCATCACGCTCTGTAAGAAGTAGTTGAAGCACATCTTATAACCTGATGCTATCACTGTAGCATTTTTCTTATTTAGGTTTACATGCAGAAACGTTTCCGCAAACCACGTCGGAGATTATTAAACAGCCGGATGAAGCCGTTAACCTTAATTAAATGTAGTTTGTTCTAAGTGCTGCGGTACAGACAACTTGGGAGATAATACACAGGCTGTAATAATCATACACAGGCTGTAACAATCACAGGCTGGAACAATCATAAAGAAGAACTTGGTTTATAATGGAAAAAGAAAAGAAGTCAGTGACGCCAGCAAGAAGCTCCAGTCCAAATGTCTTGACCTTTGGTGTCTTTCCCACCTCGAGGTAGCGTACGAAGGCTTAGTAGCCAGTTGCTTTATCTAAAGATTACGTACTACGTGGAATCTGTAGCTTAAGGGATGACCAACAACCCCCGCTGTGGTCATGCCACTGGCTAACACTTTCACGATTGCTAAACTTATAAATCTACAGTTTAGTGGACAGCTAACTGCGAATACACCACCGCATTCCACGCGAAGTCACGTGGAACTTCCCATCTGCTCGGCTCTAAACAGCTGCACCTCATCAACTATTTTCATTTCTAAATCAACTGGCTTTACAAGTCAACAGTAGTCCACACTTAACTGCCATCTTGTACGCCACGGTGGAGCGGTGATTATGGTGGTGGGCTGCTGCCGAGAAGGTCGTGGATTCGATTCCGGCCACGGCGCTGGCAGTTCGATGGAGGCGAAATGATTGATTGATTTGTGGGGTTTAACGTCCCAAAACCACCATTTGATTATGAGAGACGCCGTAGTGGAGGGCTCCGGAAATTTTGACCACAAGGGGTTCTTAAACGTGCACCCAAATCCGAGCAAACGCTATACATTTCCGCCTCCATCGGAAATGCAGCCGCCGCAACCGGGATTTGATCCCACGACCTGCGGTTCAGCAGCCGAGTACCTTAGCCACTATAGACCACCGCGGCGGGGCAGGCGAAATGATTAAAGCCCGGGTGCTGAGCGATGACAATGCACGCTAAAGAACGCCAGGTAGTCGAAATTCCTGAGGCTCTCTACCACTGACTCTCATAATCATATCGGGGTTTTCGGACGTAAAATCCCAAATTATTACTGTTCATTGACTATATGCTTCAGATAAATAACCACAAAGCTGCCGAGAAGTCCAGAATGCTTTATTGGCGTGCAAGGCAGGGACCGATATAAATGAGCGATGACATAAACGAGTGATGATATATGATCATCTCTACCTACGTCCAAGGTGATAGTCACGAAACTGAACCAGTCAGACTGACGTAGATACCCCGCAGCTATGCGCAGACATCAGCCTTATAGGGATGACTATTTTTTCCCTTACTCTGTTATAACAACTGACATCCAAATCAACCGAGGGTGTTTCAACCTCGCTTGATTCAACCGATATCAACGGAGGGTGTTTGGCACTATAAGTAACTCACTGAGTCACATGCGAACGCACTTGCATCTTGTACGCGGTAAGAAGCCACTTCTAGGAGCCGAGCGTATTCAGCGTAAATCGCTCTTCCCGTTGTCTTTTCTTTTTTTTTTCTTTTAGAAGTCCACAACGCTCTATTCCTTTGCATGCAGCTACATAAAAAGTGCTAGCGAATTCGGAAGCCATCAGCGGTTCTCGTATGTGCCGAGGGCAAGCGGCCACGAAAGCTCCAGGCAGAATATGTCGCGCAAACGTGTCTGTATTTCGATAAACGAATATCGTTGTAGACCGTTCCACGTGTGCTAACATTTAAGGTCCAATGACTACGTTGCGGCCATCTAGGACTTTAGAAAGCAAGCGACAACCATCGCCGACGTCATGGTGTTAAGCGAGCTTTCCAGCAACAGTGAAGCGATTGCGCATGATTGCTTGCCTTCACTGCGGAAGCGCGACCAGGTGCCGCAGAAGAGGCGGGTTTCATTTTGTGTATACTAAACTAACCGTAACTCCGTTGCAGTAGCTTGTCCATGCGAATCACAGGGAGGCCTTTTTCGAGGAGGATCAGCTCGAATCAACAGGTGGTACCGAAGCCTCGGAGCCCATAGCGGCATGTCTACCGTCCGTGACCGCCACGGATGTGTCCGCCATCACGCATGCTATGTGTACTACGACATACACGTACACGTAATGGGGCTAACTATGTGACGTGGGGTTTTCGAGCTACAGGCCGATGTGCGAGCAGGGGGAAAAGGGTGAGGCCGAAGGCGGCGAGAGCGAGACAGATGAAAAATTAACAATAAGATAATGCGGCGTGATTGAGGGTTTGCCTTACCTGCGGTTCGGATTCCTCCAAATCGACCATGTCCCGCCTGTGGACGGGTTCCGTTGACGAATGCGCCCTCAGGCGAATGAACGCTAGTTCGCCGCTGAAGGCTCGGCCCCCGGGCAGGCTCCACTTGCCGACCGAAGGGGAGGACGGCAATGTGATCCCACCAGCGACGTCGATGCTGCTTCGTCGGCGCGCCGCAGCGTCGTGCGATGATCGCGCGCAGCAACAGAGCGGGGGCGACGGCGGAGGCTCCTTCTTCACAACAACCACTGCCCCCGCTGCAGTGGTTGACGCGGCGCACTTGCTCGCCATTCCGTGATCCACACTTGCTTACCCCCTGTATTTTTCGCCCTTCTTTTAACTCTCAAATTAGCGGTGGCGTATAGGTTGCGATACTTCCCTGCGCTTGGGTGAGAGACCTTAATGTTTCACTCAGCCCGAGAGTCTGTTTAAGCCGTCAGCGTTGTCTGCCAGGCCTCAAAGAATCTGCAAACAACATTTGACATTTCCCGAAAGACCCTGGTGTCCGTAGGTCTTCTACAGCAGTTGAAATATCTCCTAGATGCTAGGTAGTTTTCGATGTTACTAAAGAGGTTCAGAGTCCAAGTCATTAACGTCTTCTAATAATGTTAGAGTGCTTCTCTAGATGGCTTGCGGTGATGCTCATTTCCTCCGCTGTTTGTGTAAGGCCGAGACACCTGTCAGAGTCTCCGACACCAAGCACCTCGCAAGACAGCCGTTCCGAGTCAAGCGAGTCTTTACGCATTAAGACAATTGTTCGCCCTCGACATCTTCCTTTCGTGACGTTTATCACTTCCTGCAGGCTGGCTCGCCTACCTATTCGCTATTCCAATCATGTGAGAAGCTCTGACTAAGGGACGTCAGAACTGTGTGCGCACCAGCTTGAAATGTTGAGAGTCATGGCAGGACGATTAAGTGCATAAGTATACGAGACGCAACTGGATGTCTATATTGCATCCCGGGCTTTCGGTGTACGCACAGTTATTCTTGATATCACCCCCTGTCTCGGTGTCCGTTCAATTAATTAACAAAATACCAAATGCAATCTAGCGTCGTCCTTCCATTGCAATAGCATTGGAATCCATAAAACAAACAGGAATAGTGGTGTAAGCCCGTGGAACAGGTGTCCCATTGAGATGTGAGCTTTAACACTTGAATGATAATTCTACGACAAGGAAAATTAGGTCTAGGACAAACTGAACATCCCCCAACTCTTCACGCTAGCTGCAGAAATACACGCCTCACGTGCACAAAAAAGAGCAAGGAACCAAGAACTATGGAAGCTGGATACTTCAAAGCAACGTTCCAAGACGAAACTCACACAATGCAGACTAAGGTTTTGATACTACAGCGCAGTCCGCTGTGCATGAGCACATGTTCCCAAACGCCGATGCAAGCATCAAGAGCACTTTCGCTGTTGCCACCGATCTGTTCACGCCTATCCAACAAATGCAGCGCTATGCAATGTCACGCCTTCATCTCTTTCATATACAAGAACTACTCGTTGATCACACACAGTGTTAGTAGAGTCAGCGAATCCACAAGACCCAGGGGTTAGACACTGTCACAATGGCCGTTTTCTTGTGCACTGACGGCCTTCCTAGCTGGCTAAAGAAATCATTACTGATCCAACAAGGGTCCTCATCCTGAAGGCTCCAAGCGAGACGCGATGTCGACGGTCCCAAGGCGTCTCGTACCGAACCCTCCAAGAGTGGTTGCGAGAATACTCTCGGTCTTCGGGCCACCACGGCCGATGGCGCACAGTGTTGAAAACCAAGGGAAGAACAACTGCGATGTCACACTCAATGTGACTACAAAGAAACGCGGAAGGCAAGGGTCGTTCTTGTCTTCACCGCTTGCAGGAGCAAAGATGGGGGTGGCGCATAGGGGGACATCGCAGGTCTTTTCGGAAATCTGCCCCACATCCTTCGCTGTCCAGCAGCCACAGACGGTCTGACGCTTTCTCGGAGCTCCGTAGGGGTCGCGCAAAAACCACCGTGAGGCCTTTCGAACGAGAGAAAAACAGAAGGGCGCGAAGATTCCCGCCACGGGCGCCTCGCTACTGTGTTGGTGCTTTCGAGCGAGTGCGGAGGTTGAGAGGAGCGAGAGAGAGAGAGACAGCGCGGGTCCTGCAGGCTCTTCCCAACTGGCGTGCATGCACCTCGCGTTGTCGACGACCCCGGCGACGACGAAGACCCGTGCTAAAACCCGCGGCTTAAGAGGAAAGCATTTCCTTCCCTCTCGCTTGCCTGCCTGCCTCGGAGCATCGTTCTCGCTAATGGCCCTGCCCTCCATCTCCTTGTCCCTCTCTCCTTCTCCCAACTTCGTGGAAAAGATCGAAAAAAAAGAAGAAAGAAGTACACAGGGCTGAGACTACGGCAAGTGGTAAAACTCCGGAACCCACAGCGGAGTGCCTATGCGAACATCTGGACGTGAGGAGGAGAGTGTGTTTTTGTTTTCGCCTTTGCTCCATACGTACCCTGGCTTTCTTTTCGCGCCAGGGAAGCTCAGGAGAAGACGACGAAGGCGTGTTCGTGCGACTTCTATACCGCTTCTGTGCCAACTCACCGACGATTTCCTTTCTGAGCCACGTTTCTTTATGACTTTCCGAGACGTTTTGACCTTCAAAGTGGTGTCTGTGTGTCACCTACTTCCACTTCCGACAGCTAAAAAAGCAGCATAACAGGAAAGCAACGCGCTGTCAGTGCGGAAACAAGATTTTGTTGGATGAATTGCAACAAACTGACGAATATTCTTTCGGGTGTTACAACAGTTTTTTTTCTCAGATCCTTTGCTTGAACGAATTGAGAATTTTGTTTCTACAAAATACACAAATTGAGTGTTCGGGCGTTACAAAAGACACCGACATAGATTGTGCCTACATTCTAGTTTGTTTGTTTGTTTGTTTGTTTGTTTGTTTGTTTGTTTGTTTGTTTGTTTGTTTACGTATGGTCAGACCCGTATACGTATGGTTGTTTACGTATAACTTGCGTTGATAGGTTTAGTAATAAAGTGAAGAAAATGTCCTGAGCAGCACCCTTTCGGATACAAACTTTCAAAAGTCAACGTAGTTAATTCAACATGCATCTTTTCAGTAAAAAAAAAACAATAGGTTAGAGAACTTCGCTTATGCAGAAAAAAGTAACATGCGTGCGTGAATGAAATAAAGCGAAAACAACAACAACAACAACAAGCTAGCTTGTTCATGCTATTCCATGCCAACGCCTAACATGGTCCTGAGTCCCAAATACACATCAACAGGACAGGCCTTAGGAAAACGTTGCCAAAGTAGACTTCACTGAATTACCTCTGTTCACCTAATTGCACTCAAACCCAAAAATGCGTGGGACGCTCTTTCTCTTTTTTTCTTGCATTTAGATTTTGACTGTACCGTGCACTAAGTACAGCCCAAAGTCGCTCCGACGTCCTCCCGTGCAAGGGCTTTACGCTAACTGCTACTCCGCTGTGGTAAATCTGTTGCTGCTTATGCACGTTTGTCTGTGGCGCAAAATAAGTATACGTGAAAAAAAGGGGGACCAGAAAAGAGAAGAAAGTGACGTGCGAACTATCAACTATTTAAAGACACTCTGAAAAACGTAAAAGAAGAAAACTCCTCCACGCATGACCAGAGGAATGACGTGAAACGACGTGGCCATAGTTTCGCGCAATCAAAAACACACATTCTTGAAGAAAAGCTTGGAGAACGCTTGAGCTTGGACTTCAAGAGGTGAACCTGATAGCGTAATTTGGTCTTGTGCGCACGGCTTAGTTCTCAAGTGCTGAACCTCGCTCCGGTTCTCAGTGCAAGCATCGTGCGTGCCGTAAGGAAACGAACGACTATGCGCCTAAAATTGATAGTTTCTAAGTATCCTTGAATACCTCTTGCAAGTATAGTTGGTATGTGCCCCTATACGCCATCATTATTTATTTTGCGAATCATAGAAGTGTTCTACGCGTCCGTATAAGGTAACACGCGAACATACGCAGCTGTTCAGTTTGTTGATGATTTTGTTGATGATTTGCAAGAGCGCTTTGCAATGGGTGGTCCTTCAAAAAAAAAAAAAAAAACGTAGCGCAAGGCACGCGTTCTGACGCCTGGTGCAATTCTAAGCTTCTTCCTCGCAATATTACGTGTGTTAAGGTGACTCCTCCCGTTTTATGATATTCATGATTTTTTTTCCAACGCAGTTTTATGAAATAACGTGGCTATGCGTGGTAGATCGAACACCTGCTTGCCACACAAGCGGCTCTCACTCTGCCTCGATTTCTTCTTATTGTTTACTCGGTTTACATCTTTCTCGCGTTTTTTGGTCACGGACAAGATGACGATTGTTCACTCAGCACCAATGACGCAATCGCCGCAGCCCACGCAGACACCAGATTGCTGCGGCACGAGCTCCTTAACGGTATCGCGCCAATACAGTTGTTACAGGCTTGTCACTTTACAATACAGTCTCACGTAATACCTCGGCTTCTTACGCATTCGCGGAGGGTGTAGTTATATGCTTCTGCCACGCAATTGTACACGCGCTAATGCTACTCCTCACACTACATCCCATTCATAGTTTTTTTTTTTCTGATTAGTTCCAAGCAGTGGCATGGCCATGTGGTAGAATACCTGCTTGCCACGCAGAACACCTGGCTCAGATTCACAGCAAACATTTTTATTTATTGATTTGCATATATTACTTTCTTGCTCGCGGGCAACGCTGGTTTCTCGCCCCCAACCAACGACTCCGACACCGCTGTTTATGCGAAACAATCAATTTGACGCTATCGCTATAAAAACGAAGTATTCATGCTAGAGCGCGAAGTATACCACAAATTTACAATTTTGAAGGTAAAGAGATGCAAATCTAAAGTGCAAATCAAAAATGAAACAAAGGCAACTCAAACTTACTAGGCAACTTGTGTATGTCCTCCGCGGGGCTCGAAGCATGCGGCGGTATGTGGCAGGAAAGCTACTTACTACTACTACTACTACTACTACTACTACTACTACTACTACTACTACTAATAATAATAATAATAATAATAATAAT